GAACACATCAAGCCACCCCAAATGCAAATTTCAGGTCCGACCGATTCCAGAATCTAGATAGCAGCAGTTCGATCCCTAACGAAGTTGTTTAACTCAATACTTCAGATCAGCCGATGTAAACTTTTACCCGGGCAAGCCCCGCAAATTTGCAGCAACACTGGAATTTATAAAGAAACAATCAAAACAGATACCAGGCGCGGTAGCGCAATCCCTGACACGCTATCAACTAGCTTCACCAAAGCGCCATAGTAAATGAAGCCATCCCTAACATTGAAATTTTCGGATTCTGCTGCATTCGGATCATCTTCAACTGAAATGCTCAAACACGAGACATTTTGAAACTGACACTCGGTAACTGTGCCCAAAAAAGGAGCACGACTTCATTAAAAAATGACACGATATTTAAGCCTATCAATGGCTCCCAAAAGATTCTAAGGAAAACCTTTTTCATTCAGTTCATTAACAGGTGAACACAAACCTTTCACAGAAAAAACATATCCGTAAAAACTTGCGAAAAACAAAAATCCGTTTCTCCAACTTCTTGAGTAATCAGCACAGCAATTTTAAAAACTAATAAGCCTAATGATTTAGCTTGCTAAATTTCATGGCATCATACCGATTTTATAACCACAGGCAACATATTGGAGAACAGCATCGACACATTCTACAGCAGTATAGCTGCCAGATTTCAACACAGTGATATGAATTAACAAAACCGGCTTGTAAATGTCGTTAGATACCAAAAGCTAGTAAGCCTTAGCTTGCACAGTTGGCAGTACCGCAGCTTTTTATTCCATAAAACCCCTCCTTTTGCATACTACAAAAATGCCTTCAGCAGCGAAGCAAAAATATTTTACTAGGAAAAAACTACTGAAAAATTTTCAGCTCTTTTCCTAAGTGCGTTGTTTAAACCATAAAACATCCTTTTTATACAAAAAATTAGTAAGCAAACCTAAAATGATTGCCAGTTTTTTCATCGCCCAAAAACATTTTGCTTCAAATTATAATAAAAAATCCGACATCAATTTACTGCTAAAGACCACTAGGAGCAAAATATTTGAAACTGAAAGATCCCCAACGTAAAAATTGAAAAAGTTGATTTTCGAGTTCAAAACTTTCAGATCTCACGATTCCAGAGGCATAGAAGGTGCTGGTAGTGGTAGCCGAGATGGAGCCAACAAGCAAAGGCGAGACAAACTGTCATCCATAAAATTCATTTATGAATGAAAGAAACACCGGTAAAACTGAAGAAGCAAGATATGTTACAGTAAATTGTTGCCAACAAAACTAACTCAGATGAATGGTGAAAGCGCCCCATTTCGTAGAGCTTGCATGAAAGCCACCTCCTTCCACATGCAAATAACGTGTACTGACCGTTTGTGACCTTAGCCTGTTGAACAGCGCCACCTTGAACATCATTCGTTCACGATTACAGTACGAGGCAAAACCAAAAGAGGAAAATTCAACAGCGCAAGAGACAGTTGCAGTTTAAAGCGAAAGTCAGAAGAATGTTCGCACTCATAAACATATCTACAATGCCACCGAGTGCTAAAAGATGGGACAGCTTTTCTCGAAACTCAGCGCAAAGTACATAAACATAACTTAGGCGGTGAGCCAGGTCGACCTTTTTACTAGTCATTAAAATTCTCACAATGAAATAGTTAGGATGGATATCAGATAATGGATCCTAATCTGCTCCTTGAAACTTAACAAGCAAGTGGATCCCTGGCCCCACACGAAATCTCCTGTTTTCCACAGAAAATGCGCGAAAAAAATTCATGGATACTTTATCCAGTTTATGCATCACTTACTTTGGTGCCTGACGCAATGCAAAGGTATTTGCAGTCCGTATTCTTCATGCTTTGCTTTTTTTTGCTCGGCTTACTGATTACTTTAATTCTTTGCGAGGTGAATATGCCAATTTCATGTCCAGATGCGTAAAAGAATTGAACAGAAAGCTCGAAATATTTGCGTTTATCCACATCCGAGATGTACAGAGTTTTCGCAGCACAGTAATCCTAAAGAATTTTCTACTGCATTGCTTGATGGTAGGAAAATAGCTGATACAACTACTGAACACAACGCAGTTATAGAACAAAAAATACTCTGATATGTGAAGTACCAAATATCAGACAAAAATTGCGCCAGGGAAGCAAGAGAGCAGCTGGAAAGATTCCTCCTTTTTACGTAGCTAGCTAGACAAAGGAGGGACATCATACAGCTTAGGCACTGACGGAACAAATGTACGTCCGGAGCTTCTCCTCGAGAATGAGTGATGCGAAACCGGGATTGAGCGAAGTGTATGTCGCATGCGGCGTCAACTTGAACAACAATCTACAGGTGAATTTGCAACAACAGATGGGCTCAGATATTGCCACAGCAAAGTGCCCAGGTCTATTACTTTGCCCTGCCCGCTTAACGAAGTGGACAAGCAGTGGGGAAATTAGCTAGCCTTGTTAGTGGAGAAATCGAGCGATTGCTTCTCCTGATCCGAAGGTGGCCCAATACCAATGAAAGCGCACAGCTCAGCTGATCGGGCCTCACTGATATGTTCGGCACTCGAGTTCGTCTCCTGAACACCATTTCTCTTCTGGTACTCCCGATACCGTCTGTACAAATCTTCGGCCATTTTCTTTTTGTGCTTCCATCCCTCTCCGAACAAATAAATGCACGGTGGTGGGCAGAAAAATCTGGAAAATACTTCATTTGTTGGCTGTTAATCAGTTGCAGATTAGTCCGTGAAAGCATCACAAGGGCCGAATTATGCCTCAAAAAGGCAAATGAACAGGCTTGCTTCACATTCAACAAGCGATAAAATTACGCCATATCAGACTTTTTATAATGTCTGACTAACTGCGCTCAATTTTCATAATTTTCACAACGTCAGCGGGATGAATCGAAGGGTCCGTAATGAACAGTCAAGAATTTTAACCACCGAAGGCTTGTAGATATCTGTGAGGTCGGAATCCGACACGATGAATGTTGTTCAAACAGACCTTGGGCCACAGTATCTT